TGTGACACAGGCACTGCAGTGGGGATGTCCCTGGGCTGTGACACAGGCACTCCAGTGAGGATGAGGATGTCCCTGGGCTGTGACACAGGCACAGTCCTGGGCATGGCACGGCTGTGGCTGCAGCACAGGAATTGCTGCAGAGTCAATGCTGGGCTTTAGAGTTGGATCAAGCAGAGGGGGTAACCCTGGCTAATTCTAATCCCTGTCCCTGGCAGCCTTTCTGGCAAACTTCTACAGAAGGCTCTTGAAGATGCATTTCTAGGGCTCTTCAGGACTCCTGTAAAAGCTTGTATCTCCAGGATGTGGCCTCCCCCTGAATCTTCTAGATCAATTCTAGTGTCTGGTGAACATCATCTTTTACTCCAATGCAAAATGCAAGTGAAAATTTGTGCATAACAGGCAGAACTGGGCTTGGTAAGATGGGGCATTGTTTAAACACCACACAGAACCCCTGCTCTCTGTAGTGGTGTACATACAAGTGAGGATGGTCTGTGGCTTTCTCATTGGCAGCCTAGTGCTGATGGTTCAAAAAATCTTCATTTCCTGTGAAAACTGAGTTCAAATGAGCTTTGAAACAAAGGAGTGCCATACATATCAAGTATTATGTTGTCCCCATTTCACTTTTTGAAAATGGAGTCACAGTCTGGTAATAGATTATGAAAGATGCTCCTTCTCATCTCTATGTAATTGTTCTCAGATACCGTTCAGAGGTTCTCCACCTGGATTTAATAATCATAGTGATCTCTGGAAAGTTGCTTCATTTAACATGCAAGGGGAGAAAGATGTCTTCAGTTCAGCCATATGTAATTAGAAAAACCAAACACCACCACCAAAAATATCATAATCTGAGTCATGTTGGGAAGGTTGTGACATTTATTCGATATTTTAAAAAAATATCGGTCATCTATGATAATAGCTTCTCACTTTCTTTTGAATAAAACTCTGCACCTCCCTGCTCCTGCAATGTCTCTTACTTAGTGGTCAGAAACTGCAATATTTTTTGACTTTTCAGTTTAAAGTATTTAAATGTAACCTAAAATTCCCATTTAACTTGGTATTAGAGGTACATATTAAATGAGGCAAATAATGTAGCTGAATATAATTTTTCTGATATGTTTTTCAAATTCAATTTTACAGAATATCGACAAGGTGGTGTTTGTTGGCAACTTTCTCAGAATTAATATGATTTCTATGAAGGTGCTAGCATATGCTATGGATTATTGGTCCAAGGGACAGCTAAAAGCTCTCTTTTTGGAACATGAGGTAAGGAAATATGTGTTGAACTTCCATTTGTAAGTACAAAATTCTTGTAGCTCTTTTTTTGGTGAACTTGAAAGGGGAGAAATGCCATTGCTTTGAATTGAATGCACAGGCCAAGTTCTGCATAAATGTTATTTAGTTTACAAATTCATTTGAAAATACTACTTGTTACCTCCTTGGTTTGATCACTAATCTTGTGATATATGTTGTTAAACATTGCCCATTTCTCATATTTGCTTTCTGACCCTGATAGCAACAATGTTCATTTGTGTTGGCTGGTATAAGAATACCTCAAGTGTAATTCATTTTTGTAAGCATAATTTTGAGGTGACCAGATGGACAGGTCTATAATGGAAACTGCCCTGCCTCAGTACAGCATCAGTATTATGGTGTTGTAATTTTTTTTTTTTTATATAATTTTGGAGAACTTTTCTCAGTATCAGGCCCTTTCTTCTACCTAAGGATGATCTTATTAAATCATATTTTAGATAGAGCAAATACTTGGCAGGGTTGACCTTCTTTTAGTTGCCTTAACAGAACTGAAAACTTTGTGTTCATGTTATGTCTTGTTTTGGAATTTGATTGGTTTTGATTTTCTTTTGCCTTTGTTCCAAGGGTTATTTTGGAGCTGTTGGGGCTCTTCTAGAAATGCTTAAAATGACAGATGATCAGTGATGAAACTGTCTGAAGAGATTCCTACTGCAGATGCTGCTGGGTAAGAGTGAAAGCCACTACAAGGATGGAAATGAAGCCATTATGGTAGTTCTACCTGCTGGATTTGTAAATAATTTAAAATCCTTTTAACTGATCTTTAATTTCTGGGTTTTGACCTTATACTTCAGAATTCATACTGGGAATTACGAGATTTTTTTTTCTGTACACTGTATTTTATAGGGGAAAAATGTGCGAAGTGGCCAAACATACAGATTTTATGGATTTATTTTAAAAAATGGATACTGTTTAATGTAAGACCTATGATATGAGGCATCTGCTTTTCTTCTGGGGTTTACTGATTAGTGTGGTAATTTTAACTTCATTTAGTAATCACTCTAGGAGATTTTTTTATCTTATTTTCATGACGTTTCATGATTTGTTCTTGGTTTCAAATGAAACTACAAAGCTGATGCATTTTACTGTGAAAACTAGTCATTGATTTTTTTGCCTTTCCTTTCCTCATTAGATGAGACACTTTAACCACTCTCTATCAACCCCACCCCCAAAAAAATTTTGCAAATCATTCTGTGGCTAAATGCATTTCTCCAAAGGACTGTGAGGAAGCTTTGTAATAGCAGAGGGTTAAAGATTGTAATTTTTCAGTGGTCATGAATTGCAACAGGAAGAGACTGCCAACTGGTTTTGCAGGGCTGATTCATCTTTATAATAAAAAATTTTAAAGAAGATGTGAACTAAAATCTTAATTATTGAATTGACACTAAAATGAAAATTCGTTTCTGATGAAAACCTCTGATCAAGATGAAGAGTTCTGTAGTAAAGATGTTATTCACACTTGGTATTAGATGGTAAAGGGAGATTGTCTTCAGTTATTTTTCTGTAGTCTAAAAGTTTTAACTTATTCTTAATTGAAAGCAACTGATAACAGCATTATTAAAAGCCCAGTTACTAAAATTAGAAAAATACTGACTAGAGTATTTTCTGCTTTTAAACTAGTGTTAAATTCCTCTCCAGGACATCAGAATTTGGGTGTTTATTCCAATACAGTATTTTCTACCTTTTTGGATTCGTGGACCTCTCTAGATCTTTTTTTCCCAAATTGAATTGAAATCCCTTTGCAATCCATGTACTTAGGTTGCTGCAGAGCATGTATAAACTTGGTTTCCTTAGACACCTTGAGGGCTCACAAATGAGAGGCTGAAAAACAATTCATAAATTATTTTGTCTTGCAGGACTGTATGTGATGTCACATAAAGTAAATGACTCATCAGAGGGACAGTATAGAATTCAGTATATTTTTGGAAGGGGGTGTATTTCACTTTAAGTCATTGACTTACATATCTCCCAAATGTTGAAAGATGGTAATATTAACTGAAGTGTTAACTTGTGTGATGGAAATAAAGACCACTACTGTTTTGACAGTTTTAATGTATCTGTGGAATTCATTTCTTGAAAGCAATGATGTGATATACATAACACTTTTTTTTGTGACATACGTGGCTACTTATTTACATGATAATCGTTTGGTTCTGGACATGTTTTTACTCTTCATAACAAGGCTTTAGTCTTCGTAGCCTTTTGCCTGCTTGAAATTGACTTTAAAGTGCTGTAAACAAAAATATGAGATGATATTAACATACTGAAGTTAATATTTTCTGTAATATTGAGCTTGAGATAAGTGCAGATGGTTCTGCTCAGTGCCTCTATTTTTTTAATAAAGAAAAGAAAACTTTGATTAAGGTTATTGGCTAAGTTTTGCCTTCAAATAAAGATTCACTTGTACACTGTTTTGTTTTTTTAGGGAAAACTTCAGAATGTTGAGACGTAACTGTTCTTCTTATAGTAACCAGTAGAGGGAAGCACGACATCAGCCATGTAGCTGCTGGTTTCAGAAAAAGATCCTGTCCTTCCCTCCTTTGTCTGTTTTTGAAGGGAATGTCACTTAGGTGTTCTTGCATTCTTCACACTTGGAATTGTGAAGGAAAACTATAATGTTAAGTAAACAAATATGAAAAACCTGCTATTCTTTTGAGATTGAAATCCTCTCCTTCTCAAAAAAAAATCCAAAAAACCCACACACATGGAAAAAAACCCTAGCAAGCCATTCAGAGAAATATGTAACAAATTGAGGCTGTGTGGTTAAAGAAGAAAAGCACAATCATGGTAGCCCTGAAGTTAGCCCTGAGATTCTAGGGACTGTCAGGTAAGTTGATCATAGTTCTAAGAGAAACACAAAATAAAACTTTACCTTCAAAATACTGATTTGAAATTTAAAGTGTTTAATAGGTGAATTTCTGTATTTAAAAGAATGAGAAATAGTCTGAATTGTATATTACATAAATGAGTACTCCTGGTTGGGAAAAATATTAGCAGACCTTAACTAGAATAAAGAGTTGTGGAAAATCACAAAGTAGGAAAAACTAGAGGAAAGTGACACTATATGTTCAATTCTTCCCTTCCTGAGGGAGAAAAGCCTAATTTCTTTGTTGCCTTGAAATCTGCAGTTGACTACTTTTTTCATCAGTACCATCATGTGAATCTGCTAGTGCTGTAACTTGCTTCTTTACTTTCAGACTTGGCCTGCCTCCACTAATCCCAGCTCTTGGTTTCCTCCTCCATGTCCCCCTTCTGTAGTTAAGGTATTGGATAAATGACAGTGTGATTGATTTCTATCACTGTTACAATATTTTTGCCTTAGGGGAATACTTTGGGGCATTTCTGAAAGCATTGGCGTTGTCTTGAATTTTTCTGCCTGTGTTTGGTGTCCAGTTGCTGTCGACAGTCACCTGTTGGAAGGGGTTCCCCAAGGTGCCCCACTTCACCAGTCATCCACAGGTATCTAAGGAGTCTGAAAACATTCTTGCTCAACTGCAGATAAACCTCTACTACAACTGGTGCAAACTAGAATTTTGTGCAAGCAAAGTTCAACTCCAGCACTATCCAAGAGTATTACTGAGAACATTGAAATATCCAGATTCTTGGATCTTTTTTGTTTTGCAAACGGTTAAGTTGAAGAAGCAGACTTCCCTAACAGAGATCAGTGAGTCTGCAGATTTAGTATGTGTTGAAAATACTTGTTTTGGTATAAATTAAGAGACCAAGCTTTGTTAATCTAGCTTCTCTTTCTGAAACATGCTAAGGTAATTATTCAGGTAAGTTGGAGCAGAATGAGTCAGACTCATCACTCTCAATTGTCATGGCCTATTCTTCTTTAGCATTTGAATGTTTGTTCTTGAACCACATGCTACTCTCTTCATTTTCTCCCCTCCACCACCAAGACAGCCCAATTTTAAGTGGTTTTGACAAAAGGTCTAATTACATCCCCTAGGAAGAAGGGTTTGTGTTCTAAAGTAAGGTTTTTGTATTAAGTATTGGGGGAAAATCCTTAGTTCTGGATGAAGAATGGAAACAGCTAAGAGTATTTACTTTATCAGATTGGATAGAGAAGGCTAGCATGGGGGCAGTACAAAAATCTGACTTCTAGGACAAGTGGGGTGCTTGCAGTTCATTCCAACCTCAGCAAAGCTGTCCTGGTGTTTCACTGTTATCAGCACTTCTGTTCCCATTAGACTGTCACAAGATACTTGCAAGTGATTTTTGGCAGGACACAGCAGAACTTTAGAGATGGGAGAACCATATGGGGTTGAATTGATGACAAAGTAAACATCCATGATTGTTTCCAGTTGGATGAGGAGTTCTACTGGGCTCTGTTTTTAAAGCACAAGGTGTCTTTGAATTTGGAATTAAATGTAACACAGGCTATGAAAAACGTCATGGTCTCTTTTGTGTCTTGGTACCTGGAATGAAGGTGGGTAAACAGCAGAAGTGCCATCATGTTTTACTTAAAACAATGTATCATTCCCTGTTTTTAAGTGGTTTTGCTTATTTTGTTGTGATCTGTTCACTTCCACCTTCAGAAGCATCTTTCCAAATTGACAACTTGGTCATTTTCCAGGTTTTTGAGTGGGTGACCCATTCATTTCTTTTCAAACTTAAAAGTCTGTGTGAATCTGGGCATTTAATACAAAGCACAAGTTGTCCTTTAGCAAATGCTGAGGTACCAAACAATGGCAGTGCATGTACAGAGTAGAGTTTACCCAAGTTATCAATATTTCCATTTATGCCCATCCATGAAGATCTGGTCTCAGCCAAACATGTTACCGCTTTCTCATATAATATGTTAGGAATTTTTTTTCCAAAATGGCATGCTTTTTTGGGGTTAAAATCTTTTGTGAGATGAACTTTGCCTTGCAAGGGAATGCACATTTGCTGTTGCATCCTTAAAAGCATCAGGGAGCAATGCTTGGAGCAAGTCTCATCATGGGCAGACACTGGTTTGATAATGCATTTTGTCACAACAGACAAATCAGTGCTTCAAGCAACAACATGGTGTGGCCACTGGTGTGCTGTGACTTGGTCAGAGGATTTGTTTTGCATTAATGTGTTAACAAATTGCACAAAAATAAAACAGCTGGTCTCAGTTTGTAGGAGTTTCTAATGCATATGCTAGGTTAGGTGGAAGTGGAAATAACTGTGTTTCAGTAAGGATGAAGACATGAATATCTGAAGCCCATAGGAAGGATGCTGACCAAAATGCTTTCCTACAAGGTTTTAGAACAGCTGCATCAGTTAGGAGACTGCAATGGAAATATTCTCATGTAAGCAGTAAACCATGACCAAGCTGTAGATGTAGTACTGAGTTGGGATAGTGGTGTTTGCTAGACTTGCCCCTCTGTCCTCCCCCTGGCATTGCCCCCCTGGCTGTCACAGGAGGCAGTGGAGGCAGCACAGCCAAGGTGGTCTGTGAACACCAGTTTTGTGAAATGCACTACTGTAATGTGGGCAAGGCAACTGAAGCTATGAGAGTCTTCTCTGAAAAGATTGGATAGGCTTCACCTGGAGATAAAACCTTACTATTGCTATTGATTTGAACAGTGAGAACACTCTCTTATTTTGAAAATTGCTCTTAATCTTTTTATATTTTAAAAACTACCTGTGGAATAATGTATATTAATTGAAAAACCCCTAAACAAATTAATTCAGCATTTTCACAGTTGGCTGGCTAAATGAATCACAAAATGCTGAGAGTACTTCAAAAAAATTTAGTTCCTTTTAGTGGAATTGTTTTGTTTTTTGAGCAACCGCACCCCTACTGCTATTTGAATAAGTAAACAAAAACATGCTGTTCCTATGTCCTAAGCATGGAGCATGCTGTTACCCAGCTAGCTTTCAGCATATTGCACTTGGCTACAAAAGGCTGTGCACAAAAAATCCAGAAGTATTTACAAGATAAACCAAAAACACTCCCAAATTCCCAGTGTTTGTCACTTCTGTTTTAGCTTAGAAAATAAATTTACTGTTCTCTTCAATTATAGGAGGTTTGTAGACTTCTCTCCAGCAGGTTTGCCTGTTCAGTGTAGCCCAAGCATCATTGGTTTGCCTCTTGGAAGGGAGAAAAGCAGTGCAAGGCAAGCTAAAGCTGCTTCCTGATGGTGGCTGCAGGCTGACCTGTAACACATTTCACACCTGCTCGTTCACACCTAGGGCAGAAAACATTCAGGAACTAAATTTCTCTCCACTACTTGCTCTCATCACATAAGAAATTGTATTTTAAAAAAATTAAGCAGAAAAGGCACCAAACCCTGCAGACTAATTGATTTTTTATTCACTGGATGAATCGCAGAGGTCAGCTAGTCAAGGAGACTTCTTTTTTCAATTTCTTATCTTTTCCTCCTCAGTTTCAAGATTGATTTTTTGAAGGTCCCATGCAACTCTGTTCCAGCTCTCCTACCTGAAAGGCAATTATAAAAGGGCCTTTGTGAGGTTTTTGTGAACACCTGGTTCCCAGCATTATGGGAATTTGCTTAAAGTTTGTTTTATATATGTTAATATAAAGTTCTAAGACACCAACTCTGGCATTATAAGGCCCTTGATCAGGCTGGGAGCAGAAGAGCTGTTCCTGATACTGCTCTGGAGACCACTGGCTGTGGGTGTGAAGCACTGTGGAAGTTTGTCCTGTGTGTGGAGATTGTTAGGCAATTAAAATATCTTTATTCACAAAAGTGTAAGAACTGGCTCTTCCTTTTCAAGCCTATTGCCTTACAGACCCAGTGGAGGAGAGAAGGTAATTTAGAGTCAGTTCCCTTTCAGTCCCTGACCATTCCATTTCCCCTGCTGTGCTGGAAAGCAGTGGTGTATGACTGGAACTCAGTAGAGGGGAGTTTGGGACACACACACACAAAAATAGGCAGAACAGCAGAGAACTGTTTTAAAACACAAACAAGAAAACACTGTACTAAAATATGATTCAGGCTTGAATCAGAAATCTGTGGCTGAAGTTTGTGTCACCAGTTCCCAAGTCAGCAGCAGTGGCAGGAGAGCAGAGAGGTGGTGTGGAATGCCGCCGCCCTGTGCTGCCAGGGCTGGGGTGCC